GAGATGTAATTGTAGTTATGCAATGGCTTACTACCGATATTGGATTTTGGGTTCCGCAGCGGAACTGGGAAGTGGTTAGTGTGTTGACTTGTTTTCACACGTCGTCACAGATTTAGGTTTTGAATTAAGTTGATAAGATGTTCACAATAATTATGGGGCGTCACGTCGATAATGTGTATCGATACGTGCGATTGTTTCAGAGTGATGCGGTGCGCGCGCGACGCTACCCCGGCGTGCGATCGCAGTGATTACACTGTGTCAGAGCAGACCACCACGCGAGCGGTAATTCCGCGACACAAACGTGGGTACGCCACCGTTTAACATAATCGTGATGATGCAGCTCCGAGCATGAGCTACTAAAACCAATAGCAACGTGTTAACATGCCCATTGACCAGTTTGTATTTGTCATGTCCGCGAAATGACGTCTAACGCGCATGAGTGTTTTGATAAGGCAAAATCTTGTTTGTGGCAGGCACATTGATTACGCGAGTTTGTATTTAAAATTGTAAAAAAAAATTTTTTTTTCCAAGATAATTTCTAAATCTTTAATAACATATTTCCAGCAGATAATCTCAGTAAAATTAATTAATCGCTAGAGGGCTACTGAAAGTAGTAAGTACTAAGATTCATAAGGTGTAATTCTGAGAAAACATGATCCTAATGAAACTAGACCTTAGGAACATCTAATTTAATCCTAGCTACGATTAGTCTTGTTAAAGTAGTTCTGAGATCATTTATGAAGGATGTGGTAACATGAGAATTTCCCTGCTCACTATCCGAGCATCTCCAGCTTGTCTTGGTCTCAACTGTCAGTTGCATTATGCGCCAGATTAACATGAATGCATATTCGAGATAACCCCTAGTGCGTCCACACATCCATCAATATGTAGTTCCGATAAAATATTATTTGTGTTTCCGATACACCTTTATTTACCGGTGGAAAAATGAAATTTATATTTGGCACTGGTCAATAATAAAATTAATCTCTTCTCTTATTCAAAAAACATTTTAAGCAGAAGGCAAAAAATATAAATTCATAAAACAAAGCTTTGTTGAAATCCGGCCAAACAAGCGATCTTTTATTTTAATTGTACGGATCTCATAAATAAATATCGTTCTTTTCACGTTTTTCACAGAAAGCTACATGCAGCATAACATAATACAACTTCGGGCCGTCAACCAGCGGGCATGATCATAACTTGACCTAAAAAAAATCTCATACGATTTCTCCACCAACCTCAAACATTTTCACGAACAAGTTTTAACTGACAAATTTTCATACCATATCACTTTGCCGTCTGTGGTAATGGTAATAGCTTTTACCGCTTTTACCGCAGCGGTCCAAAATAATGGGCTATATTTTAAACTGCTGATGGCTTTAGGTTTTCACTACGGAACCCGAGAACGTATGTAAAACTAGCTGTGCCCGCGAGTTCGTACGCGTCAAAGTTGTTTGAATAATATTTCCCGTTTTTGCAACATTTTTCTTTACTGCTCCGTCCCCATTGGCCGCCCCTATTCGGTCACCCTAGTGATATTATATAGCCTAAAGCCTTTCTTGATAAATGGGCTATCCAACACAAAACGAGTTTTTCAAATCGGACCGGTAGTTCCCGAGATTAGCGCGCGAAGCAAATAAACAAACAAACTCTTCAGCTTTATAATCTAGAAAGAAAAAAGGATTTTACGAAACTCCACCCCTAAGGGGGTAAAAAGGGATCCACGCGTACGAAGTCGCGGGCGGCCGCTAGTATAAAATTTAGTATAGATGGGTAACACACGTACATATTGCAACAGGGATCAGATGTGTGATAAACCGCAAGTCGCTAGTGTTCCATAGTTTAAAACGTTTTGTTCGTTTCATCTATTGTGCAGGAGGACAAAAGTCTAAGGGTATCGCTCCAAATATTCTGTCATTGTCATTCAAATTCAAATGTCTCTTAATAGTGTGTTTGCGCAATGTTATGAAGTATAATAAAGAAAAAAAGAAAAAATATTAATTATTTGATGCCAAAAATAAATAAATGGATAATTAGCTTTTGAGGAATATGATCAAAACTTCTTGTAGTTATTTTTTTATGAAATATCTTGATTGACGACATGAGAGACGAAAAAGCGTATTAGCTATTTATTTCTACTTTTAATTATTTTTTACAAAAAAATGGTCTCATTTACCATTTACCACCAGGATTAGTGTCCACGAAAACGCAAGTTCGAATGGTTCAAAAATGGTAATACGTACTGGTATTACCATTATGTTGAATCAAAATCGGTGAAAATAAAAACTCAGGTAGGTAGGTACCTAAACTTCAAAACTTGTTTTATAGGAAGACCAATGATATTATATAAAAACAAAAGCAGATATGTTATAGGCGCTCGCGCTGTGAATACTCAAAGACGTCCCAATTGGGACGTCTTGTGTTTAGTCTTCGTGTGGCCTGCATCGTGCGCAATCGCGTGCGTACCACACCGTAAGTTCCTGTGTTCTTACCAAAATAAATAAAAAATGCCATCGTGTGTGTTTCGAAAGTGTACCAATTATGACTCTAAAGTAAACAAAATACAAGGGATCTCTTACCACATGTGATTATGCAAAATTATTTAGTATTTATATTTTCAATTATTTATGCAAACAATCAAGACGCCATGCGCCATGTTCAAGTTAAGAAAGAGAAAGCGATCTTGTTTTGACGTTAGAGCGATAAGGATGCGTGCGCTGCGGACATAGATAAGTTAGTGCAGAATCGTTAAAACTATAGCTATCTCTTTCATTTGCGTGCTATTTCGTATCTTTTGTTTCACTTATCAGTTACATTTGTCAATGTGTGCAATTTGGAATAGCTCGGCACGGATTAAAATCGTAATTTCTATGAACGTAACATATCTATAGTTCTGTAATATCATTGAGGAAGACTGAATTTTTTTACAAGCGGAATTTACTTTAAAAGAATCCCTTTAAACATGTAATGAAAAAAGATATTTTGCTTTTAAAAACAATCTTTTTACCTTATAAGCATATTTAAGACCAACACAAACACAGATGGTGTTACTTACGCAGATACGCCGTTTTCACAGCTGTACATCTGCGTAAAACAGCCTAAAATATCCCAGAATGTTATTACCGATACAAAATCGTGGCATTTGTAATGTAATAACAGATCATTTGCAATAAAACGCAGTAATAATAGTATTAATAATTAAATTACTTCCAATTTCCTTTACGAAACGGTCATCAACATTTGAGATATCTCTAAATGGTAATGACGAACATCAAGATAAAGGTATCAAATTACTTTAGGCTCCATTGAAAGCACGAAGAGGAAATTAACAAAAGCTGGCTAAAATACCTTGGCTACAAAACAAAATGGGTATGGTACACAGCGTAAACTAATATGACCATAGGGAATCTCGAAGAAACAAGGAAAGTTGCAAAAACAACTTGAAATAATTTTCGAACAAGAACGGTCACCGGATACTTGTCAATATTCATTTCCCTTTATGAGATGAACACAATGAAACCACTTTGAGCTCTTGAATCAATGTAAAACGTTCTGGAGAGAGGAGGGCCGGTTATTTGTTCACGGGACATAACCATTCTTTTATTGGAAACATAATGTTTGTTTTATCGTACTAATATAATGTAATTATTACCCATTTAAATCTATTTACATAATTTCTAGATCTGGGTCCCCAAAGATATACGAAAATTGCACAAAACACGCTGGTAAATCAAAGTTCTGCGTTTAAGTTTAGTTAGTTTTTAACGTTAACTTAACTATCATAATCTATAATAATTATTTGATTTGAGAACGATCTCTATTATAATTTAAATTACTTTTGTCTTCCGATCGCTCACGCGAAATTACAAAAACAGGCATTATAAAATGCACTGACATAACACTTTGATAAATTTAGATTTATTTGATTTCCCATTTATTATCATAGATTAGTAAACTTTTCTTATCTTTTCAGATTTGCAATGACAATTCTTTTTTCAAGATTAGATTTATTAAAATTAAAACCCATGCATTACTGACCATAAAAACATGGCGTGACCAGCAAGTCGGGTACTAAAGACACTGGTCACGCCATATGCCATTTTAAAGCAAAATAAAAGCTAGTAAAATACTAGCGCCATCTCATGTATTTCTGGACAGTTAACATCAAAAGTCGTATCATTATGGCTGTACTTGAAGTGTCCAATTTTTTTATAGTTTGATAACAAATCCCTATCATGATAAGGCATCGTGTAAGGCCCAACACGTGGGGTCAATGTCCCGATTTTTTATAAAGTAAGCAACGGCAACAGTAAATAAAACAATTTAGTAGTGGCAATCAGCGCCCTCTGTGAGTTTATTTGAGTAACAGCTCTCTAGGTGCTTGCAGTGCTTATCAAGGATTACTCTGTGTAGGGTATAGAGGGAGCCCTAATGGACTATTTAGTATTGCGCCTAGCATAGCCAACTCGCCTATTAATGTTTGATCACAACAATCAAACATTACAACTCTGTTACCTGTGATGATTTATTATGGTGTGCCGTGGTAACAAAAAGTATCAAGATGCCAGTGGCCAGTCTGGCCAGTGCGAGAGGTGTTGTCCAAATCTTCTAACAAAAAGGAGATTGAACTATCCCTGGGACCTAAGACCGAGCTCACGCTACGAAAACTTGCAATGGACACCCGCCGCGTGCATCCGGCTATTACACATGTAGTACACCTCCGCCGCGAAACATTGACAGCGAAACAATTTCAATATACATCTCTGCAATCACATCACAACATTACCATCGTGGTGAAGTATACGCAGAGATGTATATTGAAATCGTTTCGCTATCATGGTTTCACGGCGAAGATGTTGCACGCAAATGCAGGCCGATAGCCCTGCCACACTGCGCTTCTCAAGTGCTCATACTATGTATATTTCGATACACACACGCGCGTGTGCCCGCGCGGCTTTTAACGTAGTCCTTAATGACCTGCTTATAGGGTTCAAACTCACCTGTTTCCGTTTCTCGGGCCCCTCCATGGCGACGGTCTGCCCAGGCATCGAAGCGCGTCCCCTGAAGATGTCCATCACTTTGGCCATCGCGCTCGGTCGCCTCGTCGCGGACGCGGTCACCGTGTGATAGTACTGAGGATGGAATAGAATAAATGTTTATTTGACACAAAACAAGAATAACCCATTGTCCCAGGTAACCCGTTGTTCTTGGTACGCCGCAGTCTTTGGTAACCCTTGGTAGGCCAAGAGTTACCTAGGGGTAACTCTTGGGCTAGGTAAATCTTGACCTTGGTAACCCTTGTTGCCAAACCAAACCAGAAACACCTTGGAAAACATTGAATTTAAGCCTACTCGCAGACCACCGACTTTTTGTTGGCCGATAGTTGGGTCGGGCAGTTAAATCAGTATTTTTTTATTTATTAAGGTATAGCAACAGATTGCAAATCATGTATGGATAATTGGACATGTATGAAAATGTGCACATTCGTATTGGCCAATTCTTTGTACAAAGAATCGGGATCGGGCCCAACTATCGACCGATTAAAAGTCTGTAGTCTGCGGGGAGGCTAAATAAAACTTAATATCTAATAAACAAATTAAGGTTTCCACAGACCAAACGCGGGTCAGAAGCAGTGCGGGTCAGTTGCAGCGCGGCTGAGGCACACTGAAAGCAGCGCACTTTCAAAGCAGTTGCGAAGCGGGCGGTTGTCAAAAATTTTAATATTCGAAAACCGCTTTCAACGCGCTGCTACCGCCCTGCCTCCGGTGTGTCATGCTAATATGGCCTCCGTATTAATACAACAGCGCGGGCCCGCGCTCGCGCCGCTTCTGTCCCGCTCCCGTGCCGCCTGGTTTGTCGTTCGGCAGTTGCAGTGCGGCGCGGCGCGGAGCGGTTGGAGCGCGGGCCCGCGTTCAAATTTGGTGTGACACACTTCAAAGAGTTTTTTGTATTACAACTTGCGCGGGCCCGCATTCAAACTGCGCTGCTACTGCCCCGCGTTTAGTCTACCCAAGCCTTTAAAGATAGCTTCGGTAGACGTCTTTTTTTTTTTTTTTTTTTTTTTTTTTTTTTTTTTTTTTTCTTTTTTGGCTTTACACGGCTTGTGTGTTGCCATTCGTCAAGTAAAAGGTAGACGTCTTAACATTTCTTTAAACGTTCTAGCATGCCAAAGATTAAAATCAAATGTTAAAAAAAATAAACAAAATGTTGTGAATGCTAAAAAGAAATGTAAGAAAAACTATTTTATTAATACCAACCCTAGTATGGCTCCCAGGGTGCGGGTGGGCAGACCCATCTTTAGTTTTTCCGGAGGCCCCAGAAGTGGATGCTTCGGGCTTGGCATCTGACTTGGCTGAGTCTGGCTTGGCTGTCTCCTTGGCCGGCGTCGAAGACTTGGTCATATTCTGAAAAACAAACGTTTTATGAATACATACATGAATTCTAAAATACAAGATCTAAACATTAGTGAGTTAGTGTCATACTGAATTTTACTGCGGATACGAATCTGCAGGAATTAGTTAATTATGTAAATTAAATTGGAAATAAATAAGACATCTATTACAATTGAACATCACAAAAATAGGTACATTAAAACACAATAGTAGTACACGATACGAAAGTGAACCGAGCAGTAACGTGCTACCTTGCAATGGGATTATTACAACATTCTAGAAATCTGATTATTCGATAAATACTCTCACATAAAGGTAGCAGGAAAGCGCTGGACGCAAGCCGCTACCAACCGGGTAACATGGAAAGCATTGGGGGAGGCCTATGTTCGGCATTGGACGTCCTATGGCTGAGATGATGACTCTCACATATCTTGGTGTCAGGGTTCGTGAGCCGCCTGCTTTCAGCGTCATATAACAAATCGGACCTACCCGGCTCATCGTCCGAAGAACGAAATCCCATTACTTATTTGTTAACTATGATACGAGTTATACGCACTGCCTACCAAATTGGGACACCACACTGTGAAGGTTTGGAGGTATTCGTATACTTTATTTTACCAAAAATCACAGGTCAACTCCGAACCAGTAGAGCAGTCTTTCCCAAAGTGGGCGATAACGCCCCCTTGTGGGCGCTGCAGGCTTAAAAGGGGGCGGTAAGAGACCCAGAAAAAAATCGGGACGTTGTGTAGAGGCTTGGGAGGCGTCATGTACTAGGAGGACTCTTAGACATCGACTGAGCTCGACTCTTGACTACAAAAATGGGGGGCGCTAAAAAATAATTTATTCTCAAAGTGGGCAGTAGACTAAATAAGTTTGGGAACCACTGCAGTAGAGTATGATTAAGCTAGCAAGCAAAGGCAGTAGCATGCCAGATGCTACAGGTCTAGCATAACTGAGTCGGTGACTGTGGTATCGTCACGTCATAGGCGTCACGGGAGGGATGACATGACATGACAGAGATTACAAGTCTGAAGCACATCTGAAATCCAAAAACACCCTACCATTCCGCTCCCACAATTTAGGTACTGACTCGGTTTGACCTGTAGTTCCAGTAGTTTCTTACCAAGAAACGCTTGAACATTGTCGCGGATCAGTCCTATGACGTGTGATTACAGACAAGGGGAAACTGCTACTAACTGGAGATAAATCATTCTGTCTACAGGACACCTATGTATGGTGCCCGACCGGTTCCCTTCAGAACTGATATAAAGACCACTGTAAGTAGTCGATTAACCCTATCCCATTATCAAAAAGATGTTTTGACTGTTCAATACTTGACCATGACCATAGAATCTTTACAAAGCATCTTTTGGTTGCTATTCAACACACGCACGTTGCTATCTCAAGGACAAATTGCAAGATGAGGGCGATTTATTAAGGATGCACCTGAATAAAATTGGGGTCTTTCAAAGGAATTTCTGGATTGAATAACGATTCTGCAATCAATGATTCGAGCTCGGGAATTCTTGAAACCGCGCTCAGCAAGCGAATGCAAAAAGGGGACGACTCGAAAAACGAGTCGTGACATTTTACAACCGAAAATGAACTGAATTGATTAAATAATTTTGCAACGACTCCTACGATAAATTATCATCTATTTTATAAGCCAGGCTGAAGTAATTTACAAAAGATGAATCCGTATTTCTCGCAGAAAGAAGCAGTCATGCAGTTCATTTATTGTTTTCTATTTAATAAACGCTAAAGAACATAAGCTTCTGACGTGCGGCTCACGTGATCTTGATGACAGAGGATAAAAACATTATTTCATTTCAATTTTTGGACTGGTTGATGTGGAAATCTTTGGTCCGCAGCAGTGGACGTTATTTGGCTGAAACAAACGAACTTTTTGTAGATGGGTACCTGTACAGCAGCTTTGACTTGCTTCATGATGGACGGTGGTTTCTTAGCGTCACTGGCACGCGGCTTAGACTTGAATATGTCGAAGAGAGCCGGCCGTCGGCTCACCCCGGTGGTTCCTGTAACCGAATAAAGGCTTATTACTTTTTGTGACGTTATAACACAATTTACAAGAAAAACATTTTATTGTCACCCCTAACACGTGCTAAAAAGTTCCCTCGTAATGTTTTGAGGTTTCTTTAGGTGCTTTTGAAGGGACAAAGCTATACAATACGACCAAAGGTCGAGTCAAAATTTCAAATGTCAGCAATCACCTCAAATTGTTGTGGTATACTTTTATAGTGTTGAATGAGCATTTTGATTTGTAAGGGCTTCCTTGATAAACCACCACCATATCACATTCATAATGAAGACCTCCAAAGACTTATTGGCCCTAAGTAACAACAGTAGGGTCAGGTCGCCTGTTTATGTTCACAACTCTATTCACGTTTAAAGACGGATTACTGTGTGGGTTAAAACAGTGGAAAACCAAATAACCACACACTAAGAAAAACCGAGTCTTCTAAGAATACCAAAATGTATGTATAGATGATACTAAGTTTAGAGTTAACAGTAGTTTAGTCGCGACTCGCGAGTAAGAATTGGATGCGGACAGGCGATATATGACCGTATTATTTGTAGTTTTCAGATCGTATGCAGTGCGGAAATCATTGGGTAGGCCTATGTTGAGGAATGGACGTCCTGTGGCTGGAATGATGATGATACAGTGCGTAATTGCCCTGGATACTTTTATGCTTTGGCGGTGGTTTCAAAGTAAAAAAAAAAGTGTTTACCATGTATAGTCTGTTGGTACATGAGGTGCGGTTGGCTCTCGTCTGCGGATCCCCTGCGCTTGCGCTCTCCCACTGACTGCGTGCTTCGCGTGATGGCGGCATCTAGCCTTTGCTCTGAAAAAGAAGTAATACCCCTCTTAAAAACATGTTCATCAACTCTACATTGTACATGTTTTAACCTAGGCACAGACCACCGACTTTTAGTTGGCCAAAAGTTGGGCCCCGATTTGAATTTGTATGAAGAATGAACCGATAGCAAATCGGTGAAATGTGCGCACTTTCATACATCTCAGATATTATATACAATAATATTACCTTCCACTCTCATCGTAATTTACTCGTTTAAAATATGTGGATGACGTGGTTGGTTTCACAATTGTAATCCTAGTAAGTAAGTAATATTATTTATAGTTATACATATTGTGAAGCTGTTTGTCTTCCCAAATAAATGAAAAAAAAAAACATCTCAGTACTGATTAACCGACCCAACTATCGGCCAACTAAAAACCGGTGGTCTGTGGCTTAAGCTTTTATATTACAAAATGTATGCGCTTACTAGTCACAGGAAGAAACATAGCTCTATTAAAAGTCATTGGAACATTTTGAGAGCATACCCACACAACTTACAGATAAACAGTTTTATTAAACATAAATCACTATATCTTCGATATAAAAACCTTTGATGCTCTCCGCAACCACCACTAACAGAATAACGAACAAGGTGTTTTGCCAACATAGTACGTGACAGCACAAGTCCAATATGAAATGAATGGCGTTGGAATTACATCTTTATTGCTTAATATTATCTATTAAATTAAATAATGTTCTCTCTAGACTAGTCCTCAAGTAAGTAAACAATTTTATAGAGCACAATTTAATTATGTTCTTACTATAAAATTATAATGCGGAAATAAAGGAATTAGAACCAGACGTGATAAGCCATCAAGTGCTCGACATAATAATATGACTCACTATACAAGTATCTAGCTCTCATCACTTTGCTTCGAATCGGTTATCTAAAACGTTACGTATTTGGAATAATATATTAGTTAACATTTCTTATTATTTCAATCACGTCCTCATTTTATTTGATACAAACCTATCGAATGCAAGTTATGTTCGCGTGCAAAAACGATCCTTATCACGAGTTCCTAGCTTTGTTCATATTTTCATAAAACAATTTGTGTGCCCGGAGTTCTTCACTTCAAAACAAAATGTAGAAAATTATTTTTTTGTGTCAGGATTCACAAACACTACTGGTTCAGACAAATATGGCTCAGCAATCCTATCAAATAAGGTGAGACGTCTCTAGAGACAACAATATCAGGTGCAGGTAGGTGCAACTCAAAATCAGGTAGGATTTAGTAACGTTTCATTCCACACATGAAGTGTTCACATGAGTTTAAGTCAGCTGGTTTGCAACTGCATCTCCTGCACCGAAGCTCGGATTGCACACGATGAGACGACCCTGACCTACATCCTACACAGGCCGTTATACCGACGTTATGGCCATGAATGAGACTGAAATCCCTATTCATTCCACAAAAGGGAACTTAAGCCGGGGGATTCTCAAGTTTAGTTATGCTAATGACCCTGAGTACACAGGAGTTGATATGGCGTCAACGGGCACAAAGCATAAAATAAACGAGGGTCAAATACCGTTCTACAACTGATATGCACACAAATATTTTTATCAAATTAGTATTATAACAGTACAATTCAAGGAAATTAATTCAGGATTTTGATCCACTATTTGAGAGTATTTAAAAAACCAAAAAGCTAAATAGGACTTTTTAACCAATCCAGGGAACAATACAGAAAATAACTATAGTACGCATTGAATAGAAAGTTAGTAATACATGTATATTTTTTTAGTTATTTCACATTTATGCATATTAATGGATATGACTACTATAAGCATTCACGTTTCAAGCTGTTATGTTAATATGAGAAACTGGCAAAGTTGTGACGTCATAGATCGCTTGATTTTTGTTTTAACAATCCTAGTGTTGTGTCAAAATAATAATAAAAAGCTGAACATATTATCATCACAATATCTATGTCAAAATCTACATGTACATAGTCGGTCGCGGTCAGGCGGTTTTGTTACGAGACTGTTTCCATTGATTCTATTTAATATCAATCAATAAGTAATTAAATTAATGTACATCTGTTTCTTTTCGTGGTTCTTGAAAGAGATATTTCTATTATATGATGTATCAAGGAAAATAAATACAGTTTTGTTAGCATGTTGCTTAATTGTTTCTAATTTTACATTACGAAAGAAATCTGCACTTCATTTATCGCGTATATTATTTGTGTATAAAATTAAAGTCAATGCGGCACAATTATATTTGTGTGGCTTATTTTTATGCCTAGCCTTGTCACTTAACATGCCCGGCTTTCCCGATCATACATTTACCAATTAATTATTTGAATCGATTGATTTCTATTTGTGAGTGCGACTGAATTTTTTTTTTACGAGTGTTGTAATTGAGAGGTTTGTGATAAAGTCTGCTCTCTATTTCAAAAACCAATTAGCGATGGAGAATTGCTAAAAATGAGCAGGCACGGATCTAGGGGGCAAACCGGGGCCCTCATCCCGGGCCGTAAGCATAAAGGGGCCGCTAAATGGAAAGAAAGGGGCGCTTAAAGCGTAAGTTATAATTATACGCCCAGTTACTTTTTGAACCCTCTACCAGTACACCAATGTCATGACCGCGTCGACATTTTTTTAAGCATCTCAAACGCTGGGAGGCAACTCACTAAAATTTTGCCCCGGTTAGAAAAAAAAACGTAGAACCGTGGCTGAGAATCTGGACTGGTTTATATTCGAGCCGACTACACCGTGTTTACGTTCCGTGTGGCCAATGGAGCCGCGCGACCAGCGAGTAGAAAACGTAATGTATAATTCATGGTGCAACGGAATCCGCGCACTTGTGCCGATGCAGACCAATTAAACACACAACAGACAACATCTGATCGTCCAGTGGTAAAGGCAACATTACGTATCTTGCCACTTCACAATATTTTTAACAGACGCGTCAGCAGGACCGTGTTCTGTTTGCTACATGATACAGCGCTCAAGCGTGCCGAGTCCTAACTAAAAAAATCATAGAATAACTTGAGCTTGTTTTTGATAGCGATTAAAATCAAACATAGTTATGTTAAGAAATATTTTCAGGTAAAAGAAAAATTATATGACAAAAATAAAACCCACTTCAGGGTCAGCTATTTAGAAATAGTACTAACACGACATGAAATCTGAACAGTAGGTACCATGTAATGCTAGCAATTATTACATGTCACAAGAAACATTACTGTCATTTATTGTAACGGACAAGATAACTTGCGAGCAAATAGGCGGCCGATTGATGTAATGGAGGTAGCCAAGGTTATATGATTTAGATTTAAATATTGGAAATCTAGTTTCAAACGATGACGTTCGCACGTCGACTTTATGTTGCCTAGAATAGATTACCTACTAGGGTACTAGCATTTCATTTAGGCGCTTATCATAGAACAAATTGCGTAGTAATTTCAACAAAAGGAATTCTTACTATTTATCTGCATTTGAAAGAAAACGTTTTAAGATATCGACTTAATGTTGCCATATCATTGCTGCGATCAAAGTTACACGTCTGTTTGATTTCAAAGAGTGAATTGGACACGTTTTGGATATTTTTAAAGAAGTTGTTGTTTTGCTACTTTCTACTCTCGCGTCCATCCTTAAGACTAGACGCTTGGCGCTGTGCCAAGTTCTGTCAGCGACACTCAATAGGCGGCTCAGTCCCTGGCAACCACGCCGGGGTACTACCACACTCATCGCTGCTAATAAATCTATATTTACTACCTGCACACAACACGGCAGTTACGGTTTATTTGACAATACACTTAGCACATATTTATAGCCATTTGGACTCGGAACGTACCACACTGTTCAGTAGCAAACATACAAATATTAAGCTGAACAGCAGCACAACTCAAACATCATGACCTATGTTGCCTCTATAGAAACTCTATCAAAAGATAAGAAAAAATTCACTGAAGTCTTAAAAACAGACAACAGCTTTTTTCATTTTCTTGTGAATATCTGTGATTTACAACCACAACCTTAATTAAAAAGAACGCATTTATCGAGTAAACTTAGTAATATCCTAAAATTTGGCTGTCGGTGATTAATAATTGTTATCAGTCATCATCAGTTTCAGATTTCCTTATTGTTTTCAACAAAGATGACATCCATACTTAGACTCAACTTTACCTTTTTCCTTTACCTTTTTATAATATTAGTACAGATGACTAAGTGTTACGTAATCCCTTGCTACGGCACCCTGATTAAGGCGAAACACGATTGTAATGACACTTGCCAAGTAAAATCCATTAAGAATAATCTGCGGCAAGTCACACACAAGTCATTTGAAAAGCATTTATCTTTAAAATGACCATACTTCATGATCATGAAGTGCCTATCTATCCTTAGCAACAGATGACGTACCAATCTGAGATAAATAGTGCAAGCATGAAGGTTATAATATTCATTTGTTCCAGGATTACTTACCACGCTTCTGCCGCCTTTCGTCGCTACTCTTCCGCACATCATTTTCCTTCTTCGGAGTCTTCTTAACAGCCTCTTTCTCTTTGCGAGTGCTTTGGGCACCCCAAGTTCCTGATCGGGTGCGCTCTGGTTCAGCAGACTTTTCTGTTTGCGGTATATCATTTTGCTTCACTGCATCAACTGGCGTTGTTATAGGCTCTACTTTTGGTGGTGCCTAAAAGCATGAACAATTAATTTATCGCATTAAAATAAAACTGAACTATTATACATTAATAGTAAACATGGGATCCTTACCTGCTTAACATCAGCTCTTTTCACCCATATATCTTCAACAGTCGTAGGCGAAGCTTCAACTGACGATCTTATTTCTATTAAACTACTATCAAAATAATTTTTATCTCGGTGGAGATTCTGTCCGGTAAAAATAGAACGCACACTTGGCCTTTGTTCTTCTGCTCCTTTAGTGCCGAAGTGAACAGTATGCGCGTTATGCACTTGCGAACGTAGGGCACGCTCCACAGGAGGACGAACTGTGGGAGGCTCTGTGGTGGTCACAAGAAACTTATGACGCGGCCCTATTACTGTTCTTTTTGGTGGAGCACTACCGTCATTAACTTCATTACTCTCACCAGATTGTGCATCTACATCAACCGCAGTTTCATGATTCGTCTCGCTTGCGATCTTATCATTATCTTTAGCAATAGCATTCAGACTCTCTTTCAATGTGATTTCCGAAAAGGCAGACAAAATAGTAGGTTTGTAATCATTGTCTTTCTTCTCATCGTCCTCGTCTTCTTCTCTACATTGTGATAACCGGCGACGTTCAGAGAATAATAACGGTGGGTTTGCGTTAGTGTTACGGCTGGAGAGGTTGTTGCAGTGGTTCATAAAATAATGCTGGAAAAAACTATCCGTTTCTGGTGTGTCGCTTCCATCGCCCTGAATAATATCCTTTAAAGCTGCTAGTGATGTGATGGTATTGTAATTCATGGCATTGACTAAATCCTCGCTGTCAGTGGAGGAACATGACCCTGACTCATCATGTTCTTCGTTATCGCTCGCGGGGAGACTCGGTTCGGTCACAGTTATGTTAATTTCTGGGGTGTCCATTTTTTTCTTTTTCTCATTTTTATATTCACTCTTCTTAGCGTTTTTATTTAAATTTGGTTTTGTTTCGTTATCCATCGAACAGCATTTACTTGGAGGTCAAATTATATTTAACAATCAGTCTTAAGGCACTAAGTCACTTCAAGTGATATCACATTAAGTCACATTATAATTATTGATTGTATTGCACTAAATTAGGTAATGTCATTGTAATTTTGTTGCTGTAATATCATCGCACATGTAGCATAATTTTGGCATTCGCTTGTAAATTATTCCAGGCTTGCATAATACGAACCTAAAACGGATTTATATTAGTTACGTCTCCTATTTGCTTATCCTCATTGCTAAAATGATAAGAGTTATTTGAGCATGTAGTATTTGTCCTACTACTAAGTGATCTATATTTGACATCTTTTACGATCACAGGCGGCGTACTATGCCAGTTCAGACGATTCATTAAATTGTCTCAAGATTTCCCACTCAGACAAATAGTTACGAGCGGCCACTAGAGCTAAATCGAAAGTACCCTGTTATGAAATAGATTGAATATTCGTGCATTGGTAATGTGCTGCGTAATTCAAAACAATTACGCCAAGGCCACGGCTCGGAATCAATGAGAGCTGGAGATATTGACGCAAGAATGCTTCACCGATGAACATCCGTCAACGTTTTGGAGCGGTTCAATTAGAGGTAGGAACAACCAATTGTCGTTAATTACACCAATTGTCATTAGATTCTTTATGGGTAAGCACTCTTGACAGTAAATATAGACAAGACGATTATGATGCGGCATGAGGCAAACCATTAACAATTTAGACTTTCCGTCTTTAATAGAACTTAGATTCTGGATAAAAAGTTTAAGAGTTTGTACATTTATACCTTTTTAGTAACACTGGCTGTTCAAAACAGAAAAATCGCAAGCGTGCGATGTAGGTAATGACTTAAGAGCGTTGTAGCAAAAAGTTGGCGTTCGAAATTTAGGTTTTTATTGCTTGACGTCGCGTAGTGAGTGCGCAAACTGCATTTATCTGTACAATTTCAACGCTGCGTCGACTAAACGATCTTAATCCGTAGTTGTATCGTACCTAAGACAGTACATCATACATCATAATAAAGAAATAATGTATAATTTACCTATTTGATTTTTTCTCAGATCAGACTTTTAGCAAAATCAAGTTACGTAATTAATGTATTTTTTACACTAGTAAATCCCGCGACAAGTTTTTAATCTTTAAATTGAGTAAAGTAATAAGTTGATGGGTTTGAAAGAATTTATGTTTTATTTTATTCTTTTTACAGCATCAAAAGCTTGTTTATGAAAAATATTTACTATTTAAATTTTACTTTTGACTTTTTAGTTTTTATGATACGGGATGGAAAAAATAAAATTTATTCTGTTTTGTGACGTTTCCGCACATAAATATGGATAGGTTAAATAAATATAATGAAATGTATGAAAACGAGCGTGCCATTTTTTAAACGTTATCTTTAATATCTGTGTCCATCAAAGAGCTCGTAACTAAACATCGTAAGCGAAAAAGTTTGAAAAGAAAGAAATTACAAGTCCGATTTACCTAAACAAATAAATTAAAAATACTTGCGGATCAAAAGTACTCAATCATACTACAATTTACGAAAAAATCACGCGTGACGCATATACGTCAGTGGGCAGTCAACTGACATAGACCCGGCGTCTACGAGTGCCAAAGCACGACTGATTTATGCCATTTGATGCACCCGATTTTATAGTATTTTCAAATTAATTTTTCATTTGAAGATTGAAGATAGATATTTTTTCTTTTTCACACAATAATAGTATTATGTTTCTTCTTAAGTATAAAGTAGTTTATGTTGCCAAATGACTTTTAGATTATGAGATCTGACCTGTTTTCTTGCAGTAATTTTCTCGAATTTTGACTATCTTAGACATGATAAAAATGCATTTTAATGAATTAAACATCAAAATTTTCTCAATACACTTTCTTCTTCAGGGTATGCTTATTCTAATGAATACATTCTATCTTCTTACTTAGAAATAAATTTGTTGTAATATTAGTTCAAAGTTGTGCCTTCGCGAGTTACCTGGAAATCGGGCTTTCGAAATTCGCTGTTTTCGTAGGCAAAAATCCAATTTGAACGAGATTTTGTCAATAGACATTCCGGAAAAACGTATGATAATTACGATGGTATAAGTCAAAAGAAGCTATAACAATAAATTATATGACTAAAATCATTTCGAAATCTGCCAAATTCTCGATTTCTGCATGAAAAATGTGACAACGCTCTTAACAACTTTTGTTTGTGATGCGCATCGGCACTCTAGACATCAATAAACAGTACAAGTTATTATTATTCTATAACTATACATAGACTAATACTAATGTTGTTTGAATAGCCATCGGACAGCTCGCGCTCTATAAATAGAAAAATACCGGCTGAAGCAAACAAAGCATCAGTGCACCTATACCTAGCTAGACAATGATAAAGAAAGGTACCTTAGCACAACAATTACCAGAAAGGTCAAGCCATCATTGTAATAATCGGGTACAAGAGAATAAACTTGGCACGAAATGTTGATGAATATTTAATGTCTAATCCATGGAGGGCGAGCTGTTAAATACATTGTACATAATCAAGCTACGCCCACGGGTGCCTAATTGAGATTAATGTACTATCGATACGAGTGCGTGCGCGCAAGGCCAGGCGGCCACAACCACACAAACTGCAGCGCTAATGCAACGCACTTGACTTGCAGTTGCTAGTGGTAATCATCATTTGCATAAGTAAGTATATTAAATTCAATAAAATGGACATTAACAGTTACAAGAAGAAAATCGATTTAGGCATTTACTATTGGAAATCAGTATAACAAATCCTGCGATTTGCAGGTTTTGTAATACTGATTATATCACAATAAACACACTCACTTATGCGACTATAATACTGAGTTACTGACCGTAAATAGATAGTAAGGGCCCCATCTAAAAAGGTCATTAGATCAAAGGGGTATTTTTCATTTAAAAAAGATCATTGCAAAATTTCAGATCTTCCCTAGACAGTTGCCTACTACTCTTACTAATCCGAAAAAGTCCGACCCTGGAGCCCCTGTAGGCCGGGGGGCCCGTATCATTGATACGGCTAATACGGCAGTAACTACGCCCCTGGGTACAAGAGAAGAAACCTAACAAGAGATCACCACAACCATCAGTATTGAGGACTCTGAAAAGGTTGAAGAAAACATTTTTTTGGAAATTTGGAATAGCACAGTAACACACATTTTGATGTAATAAGTAGTTGACCTTGAAAATAATAAATAATGGCATAGCAACACTGAGTTTTGGATTTACGAAGTTGACCACTTTCAGAAACATCAAGCGGCATGTTGCCTATTCTATGGAACCTGATTTCCGAAATAAATTATTTGAACCAAGTTTCGATACTCGTACAACATTGTTGTTTGAGATTGGTGCAGAAAACTAAAAAGCAAATGTATGATTTGGGTACTGCCAATGATATTATAGAACTATAGATATGTTACGTTCATAGAAATTACGATTTTAATCCGTGCCGAGCTATTCCAAATTGCACACATTGACAAATATAACTGATAAGTGAAACAAAAGATACGAAATAGCACGCAAATGAAAGAGATAGCTATAGTTTTAACGATTCTGCACTAACTAATCTATGTCCGCAGCGCACGCATCCTTATCGCTCTAACGTCAAAACAAGATCGCTTTCTCTTTCTTAACTTGAACATGGCGCATGGCGTCTTGATTGTTTGCATAAATAATTGAAAATATAAATACTAAATAATTTTGCATAATCACATGTGGTAAGAGATCCCTTGTATTTTGTTTACTTTAGAGTCATAATTGGTACACTTTCGAAACACACACGATGGCATTTTTTATTTATTTTGGTAAGAACAGGAACTTACGGTGTGGTACGCACGCGATTGCGCACGACGCAGGCCACACGAAGACTAAACACAAGACGTCCCAATTGGGACGTATTTGAGTATTCACACGCTTACTATGGGCCTCATAAGAAGGCTCAAGGTCACCCAAAGGGCGATGGAGCGGGCCATGCTCGGAGTTTCCCTGCGTGATCGAATCAGAAATGAGGAGATCCGCAGGAGAACCAAAGTAACCAACATAGCTCGCAGAATTGCTAAAATCAAGTGGCAGTGGGCGGGGCACATAGCTCGTAGAGACGATGGCCGTTGGGGCAGGAAAGTTCTCGAGTGGCGACCACGGGCTGGAAGACGTAGCGTGGGCAGGCCTCCTACTAGGTGGACCGACGATCTGGTAAAGGTCGCGGGAAGAGCCTGGATGCGGGCAGCGCAGGACCGTTCATTGTGGAAAACCTTGGGGGAGGCCTTTGTCCAGCAGTGGACGTCATTTGGCTGAGACGACGAATTAAACCAAGGCTCTGAGATTGAGAAAGTCTATTCCAAACTATGGACTGCTTTTGTCTGATAATACATGATTTTTTTTTGTTGTTTTTATTTATTATAAAACTTTTTTAAAAACAAGCTTTTATTCTGAAATGCAGTTGTTACTAAAAAAATATTTGAACCTTGCATACAATTAGTTTTTTCGTTTTATTATCTGTTAACGGATTAACGTTTAACGTTAACTTGCGTTAAACATTGCTAAATGTAACGTTTTAACGTTTAACGAAGTTAATTTTTTTATTAACGTTTTAACGATTAACGAAGTTAACTATTTGATTAACGGTGCCCAGCTATGGTTTTTATATAATATCATTGGGTACTGCCCAAACAAACATGACATCACATTCTATAAATAGACGTCGAGATACGTAAATAGATCTACCAACGACCAATACAGCATAAATAACAATAACTAACTTGTTATGAGTGTTTAATCACGTGATAAAGGGACTTTATGAAAACATTCACCATGATGATTTTAGTGTCGTCAAACCCATGATCAAATAGTTGCCAACCTTGTGAAACATTATGTATGGGTCATAGATTTAGATCACGAGATACCTATAATATGCCGTTAATTCTTTATGTTTAATGAAAAGCATTTTATTTTACGTGTATGAAAATTACTTACGGCTGGCCCTAGCTTTAGGAACGTTTATGCAAATATACAATCAACTTCTCGCTCCTCACATAGATGGCGCAGCAAGAATTTTAAATCACGCTATAAAAATGTTGATTCGTTCGGTTTTATAGTATTTTTGGGCACTAAAAGCAACTGTAGTAGGTAAATTAATTCAGTTCATATTAATCTTTAATCAAAATAGAAAACACATTTCCATGTTTGTCTGGGTAATGGACAATACCTAATTTGCGTCTACTTGATTGATATGATACAGATTTGAAGATTACAATAAATATGATAATATGCGTACTTAGCAGGTGTATAATTAAAACACTGCTAGATATTGTTATGCTTAATATCTGTCTAACTGACCAGATAATTAACGTGGGTAGTTAAATTTGAACCATGTTCGTTATCAAACGAATGCAAACACATGATTAAAAAATGTTGACAATAATTATCACATCCCAGTTGTTGTTACAGTTGTCACCAGAGATAAAAGACTGACTTCACTTCGCGGGCTCGACACGCCAACGCGGCCGCGGGTGACGTCACTCGGGCCTTTACAACAATGTTTACTGCTGGCTGACATAACCGACGAAGAAAAAGAAAGACCGCAAACTATAGCACGCGTTATCTCTTTTTTATCGTAATATAATAATCAATACAGATTATCGCACTCAAATCGAGATTTGTGTTTTTAGACACGCGATAGACGACGTGATTTATCCGTTTCATTGCTTGTGGAGCGTAGTACTTTAAATTTTTTATACGTTATTAGCACATACAATTAATTAAAATCAACGGAACTCTGTGCATGTTAACATTAAGTTAGCTCTCTTTATTCACAAAAACACCGAACAAAAAAACTTACTGCTTTCTCCTAAATCTTTGAACACAGAATGAATTTAAGTTAGGTAGTCATCGTGACTCACGTCGACGAAATCCGTGGTGGGGGCGTAGCTACCGCCGTATGAGCCGTATCAATGATACGGGGGCCCCCAGGCTACAGGGGCCCTCAGCCCCCAGGGCCGAATTTTTAATTAGCCAGTAGGCAATAACTGCCAAGGGAAGTTCTATTTTGAAATGCTTTTTAATTGAAAAGGGGCCCCTTGATCTTGAAAAATGTTGATACAGGGCCCGTCTAAGGCCACGCTACGCCACTAATCCTTAAGATTTGGACACGGTTTTTATCAATACAATTTACCCTACCCTCTGTCCCAATTTTGAGAGATATTGAGTAAATCTTTGGAATCAACTCGACAATTTCCATCAGACAATCGTCACTATCATCATGTCAAACCATTAGCCTAAAGTATTCATACCATGGTTTCGGTCGCGCATCAACAGGAGTTCATTGATTTAAATTAGAAACTGTTAGTGGTCAAAATTAGAATAAAAGGCCGCTTGTACACGGCAAGAAAAGTCACCGGGCGTACAATAATTCGTGTCGTTTCTACGCGAAGCATTGCTCTGGCGCTGACCAAGAAATAATTCTTATCTGCGCTAGACACGACACGCGACGCGACGGACGCGCACTGTGTGACAAATTTTCGTAGCTAAGTCTGACGAAATTCTTGTCTTGTCTGCGGCAGACACAGTGAAATTTCTTAGCAAGTACAAGAAGTCTAAGGATGCTCTTTGTACGAAGTTTGACAGATTTTAGACATTTGTTCAAGTTAAAGTAAGATGGTGCAACCCAGTCTGTTTTAATATTTATATCTAGCTAACCAAATAACTGACTTTCATGTGCTAAAGAAAGAAATGCAGAAGTCATAATAATTTTAATGTTAGCTAAACAACTGTGGTGCTTTTATAGGCAAGACTTGACTAAACAAAGTGACTGTACACTGGCAAGGTGTCACATGGTAAGAGAGTAAAGTAGTAAACCCACTGCCTCCACATAGATTGTGGTGGTGATGACTCTACTAGTACCAGTGTGAATAGAAACACTATTTTCTGTGTGAGCTCTGCCCTTTACAAATTCAAATTACAATTGCCATTTATTTGCTTGCAACTTTTAATTAACTCACTTTTTATTATGATTCTATCTAGAGATTGACAAGGACCACTAATTCCAGCAATGTTTTTGTTTAGAATTAAGTTCAGAAGAATTTTAGTGTAATGAGCACAAGCATCATGGTAGTGATTTGTGGATGACTATTTCAGGATTGTGAGGCTTGCTACCAGACCTGATGTGACGACCACTCTGGCAAGAGTATAGCAACGAAAAAGAAGAAGATTTTATTATTATGTAGGATTATGTGACTAAACATACCTATGTATTGTTGGATAGTCGATAGATCTAATTCAGTCTCTAGTGAAAATAATTTAAAGTTGAATGCTAATATTAGCCATAATATGGGTGTAAGGAAAGGATTATTTTAGAATATATCTTTTAAGGAAATAATATAAAATATATGAAACATTCATTAACCTTGAAAAGTACTTTAGCAGGGTGTGAAAATCTTCGTTTCTCATTTTTAGGGTTTTGACGACTTTCATACAAATCAGATACTGCAAAATTATTTTTAAAAGAAAGTTAATAATATAAAGATTCTATGAACATCGTGCACTCATTGGTTAACTGATAATATAGGCAAAGGACACAAATATAATATTTAAAAGCTGTAAATACATGTAAGCTCTATTTTTAACATAGCAACCAAATAATTTTATAATAATAGCTCTAATTTTATAATTGATACTTTAAATACTTTTACAAATAACATTTATTAAAAATTTTAATGTAATTTTATTTTCCTCCTCCTTTCCGAGAAACCTAACTTGAGACAGAGGGTAGGGTTAGGCTTGACTACTAATAAGTGTACTGTAACCAACATAGACTGCAACTTTTACTAAGTAAAAAGTTTAATTTAACAGTTTTTTCCACAAAATGTAACCGTGGACATTTTCTAAAATATTATTAGGTTTATTGAAGGTAGGTAGGTAGTGTTAAGTTTAAATAATATTAAACAGTATTTAGAAATGAGCCATATTTACAACTAGATACGCAGTCATTACTCGTTTCTGTGACTTTTCAAATAATGTTGTTACTGATCTGTATGAGGCAAACAGTTTAAGCAATGCAACAGTTGATACGGCTCCGTTATTATTGCCAACCGGTCCTGTATGACGCGCCTGAGATAATTATAATTGTATTGCAATTACAACTATTAGTTTTTCGTAATGAGTAAGGGTACCTACAATGAGGATAAGCAAAGAAGACGTGATCCAATAAATTACCAACACACCGTAAACACATCAAAATCTGGCACCAAATTTCAGTTTAAAAAAACTAGCTGGTCAGTCACAATTATCACATTTCGTGTATTTTTATACGATAGAAAATCTTTGAATAATTTTATATAAAATATTTTGTTGTCTCAAAACTGACATCACTGTCCCACCTCAACAACTTGCATTTGACAATCTTTTTTTTTACATATCTTTTTTTTTTTGGTCTCGCTTTTTTCTTAATGGTTCGCACGGCTTGTGCATGTGCTTTCTATGACAAAGGTAAGAAATAAAAAAAATCGGAATAATTTGGAATAGAATCAATCGAAAAGAGGAAAAGGTTTTTCCATAGCTCAAACCCATAGAGTATAGTACTTACACCAATCAAACCCGAAGTGTTTCAACACTGTACAAATACAATAAGCAACATTGGGGGCGTTTGTACGAAAGTAGAATTGGTCAGAAATTGTAAACAAAATGGCAACCGCCATAGCAACCGATAAAAACTTGAGCATGTTTTCGGCGAGGACACGTTTGCTTACTTCAATAGTGACATTTTCATGCATTTTTAGCAGTGTTAGCACTTACCGCTAAAAGAACGTATTTTTTTTAACGCTAACAAATTCTATTTTCGGCCTAACACCCCATTGCTTGGCAAAAATAAATCTCCGACAGAAATGTTTGGTTACCATTCATAAAAAAAAAACATACTTTTTTTGTTCTATTGTAGGGAAAAGGCAAAGACATTAAGCAATACAGCCGGTTTTAAGTTTTTTTTTATTTAGTTTAACACTTAAGGACTCACTAATGGGTCTAACGGACCCAGTACTTCAATTTTTTTGTAATAACTTTTCAGTTTTGACGTTTGCGATGTTGTGGCTCTTAGTACCTTTCCACGACAGTGTAGCACGGCCAACACAGATATGGATCTGTGACGGCCAATAACGGTCGTACTCGTCAAATAGCCCACTGCATCTGACTGCTACAGACGAAAAAGGTGACTTTGAGTCCGCTGGACCCGGTAAATAAAGTGATTTTTTTAATGTTCTACACTAATTTCTCATTAATTGCTAATTATTATAAGTAGGGAAATCATAGTAGTTTACGAAAATATACAAGGTTTTTTTTTAAATAACTAATTTCAGAAATTTTCAAAAATCACCTTCATTTTGCCAAAAAACCTTCATTTTTTTAAAAAGTTTTTATGTTAGAAAAAGGCAATAAATATTACTATTTGGTTTACTATTGTCTTTGTTTATATCATATTATCCTTCTAATAAAGTAGTTTTTACTTTCATTAAGTGTTTTTGAAAAATACATAGGATTTTATATACTGGGTCCAGCGCACCCGGTAGCGAGTATGGATGTTACAAATTAAGGCGCGAGTCCTTAAGTGTTAATGACCCTAAACTAAACATAATGTAGGTAGTTGTAAATAATAAAGGCATATGACAGACAATAGCGGCAACCACGAGGAGCAACCATTATCTTGCTCCCATACTCTCTTGGCTTGCTCCCATGGAGGGCTTCAGTCGATTAAAATTGTCAAATTGTAACATTGTCAAGCCGTGCGCCTCTCATCAGTCTGTGCGTGCGCCAACACAGTGTGGAGAGCAACGGTCTATTGCTCGCGAACATGCTCAGATTAGCGACGACCCTCAGCGTTATTCTTGACCTTTGTGGTGGACCTTTGAGGACCTTCCTAATAAAGGATCGGGCATAATACCTCAACTGCTGTGTTCCGGATCCGTCCAAAGATCGCCTGCATCATCTTTGCACAAATATTATATTTTTTCCAAGAAATAAGGTGTTTTATTTACTTACTAACGGCAAGCATGTCCGATTTATTTCTATCTTCACTGTGGGCAGTTAATTATTAAAAGACGAACTACAGCAGATGTAGGTAAATATGCTTTTTTAGGACGACGTTTGTATAGACGAATAAAACAATAATATTATTTTCTACTACATTATATCTTTAACATTTATTTTTCATCATTTAATTACGTACATTAATATTTTCGCCACAATAATACCTTAACATATAATAAATTTGTAATATACCAATCTTGTTAAGTGCACCCAGATTCCTATGAGACCAAATTCCATAAACTAGTATCCTCCTAACATCAACCACCATTAAAGAACTCCTTTCCCGTTTCATTGAAACTAGATGTATTTAACAAAGAAATGGCTACTTAAAATGTCAATATTCTTGAGAGTCATCGATCATAATCAATATTCATAATGCATTATATTTAGAGTAGCAATAGTAATCAGTAATCAGTAATATTCATTCTTAAAATTCACATTAAGTTATTAAATAGATTGAAGTTATCAGCCATCTCTCAAGATATTTTATGTAAGTATAGCCTGACCAGGAACATAAAAACCCTCGCCATGTTGCGGAAAACTAATGGTACTAATTTCTTTTAATGGCAACAGTAACTGAAAACTTCATTGACATGTCACCTTGCATGTCAGTCTATTGCTGTCAAAGTGTAAACAAAGTTTATTTTAAATGTGCGCAATTGGTTTTATGAATTAAATAGCTAAAATATTTTTATAGTCGTGAAAGAAAAGTGGTTCACAATGTGTTAAAGTATTTGTCGAAAAGAAATACTAAGGGTTTGGACAATATTTTCATTGAATAATGTTTCCGACAAAGGTTGTCAAATTGACTGACATGTTTATCGTATAGTACAGTCCACTATGAAAATTAGCTGTGGTTTGTTTCAACTACCTATTTTAAAATTTTTTGTCACTTTCTAAGTGTTGAATTTTATGGGATTGGGAAAGAAGTACCGAGTTTGAAGCGTTCATGAGCAGACATTGCAGTTGAATATTCAAGTTCTGAATTTGATTATTGATGAATAATAAAATAAATCCTACTAGCTCGATTGATGGTTTCATTTAATTTATTTAAATCAGGTTACCTATAATAATATTTTTTCGTTAATTTATGAAAATATCAAATTAGCCCGTAGTCCTGAATCCTGATACATAAAGTTAGCCTATTAATTTAACTACAGTACGACTGTACTCCGTGTTGCACTATAAATGCAATTGACGCCCCACTATGCCAGGGATTTTATGTTCCTGGTCAGGCTATACCGTAAATACCTCTATTAGGTACAACTGTTCAAAAAAGTTTCGAAATCAAAGATATGTTTATTTAGAGCTTAGTTTTTTTTATAGTAAAATTATAATATTGTACGTTAAAAATAAGATATCTACGAAAAATCAGTACCAAAAGTCAAAACATTTACATAAATATTAATATAAATTGTGACTATGTTTAGAACACGATAAACCACTGGAAAGTAATATCTGTCTCTATGGGGATGGAACCCATAACGTTTGGCTTGCAAGACAACTGCTCTTCCATTGAGCTACAGAGACACTGGTTGAGTTTTTCAAGTGCATTCACACTTTTAGATCAATAAAAAAATAATCGGCGATAGAAAATATAACTTTGGAGTAGTAAAAAAAATACACAGTAAGTCACCTAAAATTATAGCGAGGGCTTTGCTAGTTGCACTTGAAAACCTTAAGGGACACTAGCTTAATAGCCCTTGGACGAAACATAGACCCTCTTACTACGAGGTCATACCCTTTTCCCGGTGTATAAAGTACACGGCCAAAAATTCATAAAATTGAAGTGAATATCTTAAACATACATTTGTAAATTGAGCTAATATTTTATAGGTATAATAAGTAAAGTAATACAGTACAATTCTCTAAAAGCCTCAAATGGCCATCTGGAATCTTAGAATCGAATTACAAATTGCAATTACAGGTTATGGAAATCTTGAAACATGCTATGAGATATTTATTAAGAAATATTAATAATGTCAAGTCTATTGTAATTATTCTATGACTATTTTGAGTTTTATTGAATACATTTCTAAGTAATTTTCTGAGTCATTTTGTTAGAGCCGTCTGGACCAGCACATCAACCCACCACAAAATATCGATTCACATCAATCGAATTTGCACCTTATGTTAAGGACATAATATTAAAAAACGGAGTGTTAATCGTTATATTGAGGTGGGTTGACCTGCTTGAACAATAAAACACCTACTGGTGAGCATTGGCATAAAGAGATCAATAAATTAAACAATTGGATATTTAATCGTCAGGCTTGGTAGGAGCTACTGTTACGGTTTCAACGTTTGCGTAACCCGAGTTTAATCTGGAAATAAAGAATAAGAAATTTTAGATATTTTTAATAAAAGAGTTTGAGGTAAGCAGCAGCTGTAGTTTTATTTAATCATTTTATCGGCAAATATTTATTTACAGAAATCTAAGAATTCATTAAACCGATTTTTACTGAGTTTACATTGTCCCAAATCACTAGTAGGGTTAAAGTCTATGATTTTAGTTCTTGAAAATAACCGCTAGGGGCGCTGTACAACTGTACAATCTGTCTAAGGCTAAGAACTCACGGCGTGATTTTCACCCGCGCCCGCGGCGGTTCCGGTAATAATAACGATTTTACGATATCTCTTACCCATATTGCCTGGTGACACGCGCAAAGTGCATCTTATGAGCTACGTAGATGATCACGAAAAGTCCAAGGCCAATGAAGAAAGACATCCCGAGGAGTGGTGGAAACTGAAATAAAAACAACGCGTAATAAGAATAACAAGGCCAACGCAAAATAAGAAAGTTAGGTAAAGTATGGACGGCAGAATATCAAACAAAGTATTTTGTGTAGTTTTGCAATAATAAATGATTTAGTAAGTCTGCTAGCTAAGCTGTTAATTATTTTGTGCCTAACCTACTAGGATTTGACGAAGAATTAGACAAGGATTACATTATGATTTTAGTGCCTTCTTTGATAATTGACAACTTTTATTTGAATTCAACCAATCACAGTCAGATCAATAATAATGATGTATGAAAATAGGTTAACCTATCAAGTTTTATATTTGTGAAGGCAACACTGGGCACGTTCCCTAAAACATGTAAGTACACCACGCGCTTAGTACGCAATGAAGATTATGACATTCCATGATTATATTATTATCTGATAATTTAATTTACTTAATTGCAATAAATAATAGCAGTAATCACTAGGTTGTTTGACAGACCCGATACATCACCAGAAAAACAATTATTTAAAATAAAATAAAAGTAAAAATAGCTCCCATACTAACATCTATGCCACACACATTTGGGAGTATAGTACAGTGATACAGTGATGGTAGTACCACATGAGTATACGAACGAAAAGATAAATTACGCAAAAACTGTGTTCTTTAAAAAAACGCGAATTATTTTATAATAATCTAAATCTAAATGATGCAGATGGTACAAAATCCTACCAATATTATAAATTCGAAAGTTTGTGTGGATGTCTGGATGTTTGTTACTCTTTCACGCAAAAACTACTGAACGGATTTTGATGAAACTTTGCAGTATCATTGTTTATAACCCAGAATAACATACAGGCTATAATTTATGACGATCTGTGACAAACTAAATTTCACGCGGATGATAGCCGCGGGCAAAAGCTAGTTAAATGATAATAAATTTCACAAAGGCGTAGTGCTATTTCTTGATATCTGAACGATACGTAGCGTGTATGCCATAATAAAATATGTGTTACAATGTGTGTAGGTGTTACAGAGCACTGTTAGTAGTATAATTTTCATGGCGATATAGTAAGAATTTTTGTCTGTTAGCATCTACTCATGTGATAGTAATTCCATGGTCTACATCCATGAGAGACCTAAAACTTATAGCATTTGGTCAAGGTGCTCCAGAGTTATAGGACAGTGTTTAGACAAAAGAGAGCCTCCTAAAACGGTGAAGACAGTCTCATCTAATAACGGAAATTGTTACAGGATCAGGAATTAGAGTCTAGCTAAATAAAGGCTATTGCGATTACAGTATTTTGAATGCCGTATGATTTTGCTGTAGGTCAATTAAATATGAATGAATTAAATTTGAATTTTAATGAATTGTGGTTGTCAAAATCTGCCTAGGGAAGATAAAAGTCCACACATTTATAGTGCCAATACGAACAAACACAACTTGGTGATAGTAAATAGGTATTGTTGTACTATTACAAATGGTGGTGTTATTTATTATGCTACAAATATGATGACTAAGTAAACAAGATAGCGTAAGGACAAACATGTTTAATTACCGATAACCGTCTATAATCGACTTGATCCCAATTCATTTAAATGTGAATATTTATCAATTATTTTATGGCCTGCAAAGCATAATGTTTTATTAATTACATTGTCATTACAAATAGTAAATTGTTAATATTTCATTTTTATTTGACTTATATGGTTGGCTAATCTGTACAGGATATTTATTAAACATATTAGCATCAATTAAAAAATAATTTGTTGAGAAAAAAATATTGGATGTTTCATTCAATGTCGTTGTCTACTGCAGCAAATATTTCTTTATAATTGTCCACTTACTTGTTTGTTACATTCATATTCCCAGTTTACGGACAGCAGGTGTTCATACAGCTTGACGAACTTTGACACGGGACATTTTTCTCCACAGTGGGGGATATTAAGTACATAAGGCTCGACAATGTCTGATGAATTTCGGTAAGAAATCATTACAGAATGCGTCTTTGTCGTATTCTCTGAAAAAAAAGTTTATGATTACAATCAAAAGTAAAGGAAGTACTGTGCATTTATAAGAAGAATCAAGTTACTGAATACAAAAATGATGATATTGATTTGATCTGATAGTAAAATGTATAAAGAACGGTGCCATAAATATTAAAACAAGCAGATGTCCTAATGACAACGCGGGAGATGATATTAGAAATATCTTTGCGGCTCGTCGCTGCTCTAATTCGTAGCGTAAAGGTGACAAAGTGAAATTATTTTCAACCGAGCTGTAGTGGTATAACTAGCTTTTACTTACCGTAAAGAAGTTCTATAAATACTGTGGAGGTATAAACAGGGCATACTCCATCGAATAGGCCGAGTCCATTAAGAATACTGCCGACTGTCAAATCATGACCACTATACATGGAAACACGTAGGTTTTTGGATCTTTTCTCGGACATTACAGTAAACATGTTAGTGACAATCTCCTTCATGATAGGTCCAATCTTTAGTCGTGCCATTAATGGAGTTGCAGTGAATTCAGTGAAACTGAAAGCCAAATAACTGAATATGGAGCTCTGATCTAGGAAGTAAAAAAAGTATGTAAAAAAGCTATTACAAAGAAATGATACATGCTATAAGTCTGGATGTGAGCATGCTATGCACATATCACAGTATAAAATAATTTTACTGTGCCAGTCTAAATAGAGATACAATCGTCCAACGGAATAATGATAAATCGAGGATGTGATTGAGGGTGGACTACTTTCTGCTTATCCAGTGGTTTTTTTTCGATTATTTAATTTAGCTAGCATAGTTGTTTGCTCGTAAAATAATAACTTGTAGGGTGTTGGACAACTGTAAGGCATCACACGATATATCTTCCCTTACCTGTAACCAGCAGGATCTGCCATCTTAACCGGGAAAACAGATTTAGTCCACTCCGGCAATGTGAAGTTATACAGCTGCTCAATGTACAAAATGCTGTAAATGTCAACGACATCATAGTATGACCTGATTTTCAATCCAGTGTTCTTCGACAGATAGCTAGAAAAAATAATAAAACAAATTAAACTAGGTTATTTACACATTCGCTCGAGTAACATTTATGTATTATTCAATAGAATATATTAATAGAATACAGTATTATTTTTATTGTTTAACGAGTTGCGTGGTAAGTTGTGGATGTGCTTACTTCATAAGCGGAGCATAGCTTTTAAGTTTTTCCACGTAAGCTTTGGAGTGAATGTATTTTTCTTTTTCTTTGTCAAAAGCCAGACAAGGTTTCTTCATGGCCAGCAACTCGTCTTCTCGCTCAGGCACTGTATGCACAGGTATTGGTTGCCACATCAGGTCTTTGTCCCAGATAGATTTTCCAGTAGGAGGGTACAGTCCTATTGGAAAAAAAGTATGTGAAAAAAAGAAAGAAAATATACTCAACATCAAATAAACCGCACCTTCCGCGACGCACTATGGAGCGAAATTGCGATTTATGGACATAGCGATTTTTTTCACAATTTCTATTTGAAAAAAATACCTATCGATAGGTTACGTTATTCTGATGAATAAATGCTGCACAAGTTTTTCTCTAAAACCAATAGTTTGACTGGAAAAAATATTTTCCATTTTCGTTGTATGGAATGAAACATAAAGTGGTCGATTTCGACTAAGCCTTGACAGATCTTGCTTTGAAACTACTTGAGCCTTGTTCTATGGCTTGTTGACTGTAATCCTACGCTATCAGCGCGCATCCAAAGTTGCCCGTTCACAAGTTATGAGGTTCTGAAAAATTAAAAAAAAGTAAGTAAAAGTGACTTTTTTTTGGAATATCTTTAAAGATTTAACAAAAATATAAAGATTGCGACGCGAACTTTAACGATTTTCTTCTGACACAATCATGGTACCCCAACAATATTGATGTTATTTGAAAGCCCAATAAATATCCTTAAAGAACAATACATTTCATTTCTAAATAAATGATTAACATATACCATAAATGTGACTTGAAAATAGACCTCACTTTGGGCTCACCTCTGGGATCAATTAGACCAATTTTTATGGTTATAAGACCAAATAAAGATCTCACGTGTCCTCTTTAACAGATGGATAGCGATTAATCCCAACTTAACAGTTTTATAGTCATAAAAAATCGCTATAGCGTAACTACCTATTTTTTGAAGAAGTGACTCTGGATCCTTGTAAAGACACATTTTTGGGGTAAAAACCTTTCCTTTAATGAAATGAAGTTTAGAACTAGGCTTTCAAATGGTACCAATGTTGGTGGGAAGTGGGGATGCAATATGCATACGTTTGATAAGTGCTTGTCGCGGGAGGTGCGATTTATTTGACGTCGAGTGTATTATAGATTGTTTCATCCACGTTTGAGTTTTACTAAATTATGAGTGCACACGCACACTACAATAATGATGCTCGAATTGCACTGATCAAAGTCCCCGCACCCCGCTTTTCTCGACCAAAAACGATCTACAATGTTGTTATAAATATTTAGGTTCATATTGTTTTTCTAAATATTCATATGGACTTAATTCTGGAAATGTCGATTTGACAAAGCAGATCTTACATTTTTGTATAAATACATTATAAGAGCTAGTGAAGCAGTACTATAATAACGCTTTACTACGCCGGCAAAATTTGGGCTCTACTACTTAGTCAGCACCAGTAACAAAATGTATGCAACTGGTAGCCGGCTGCATCGATAAAACTCATCTAACGTTATGCAATGCATGACGTTGCGCCGCAACGACGTAAAATAGAGCCCTTGATAAGATGAAAATAGGTTCATTGAACCGAGATCAAATTATCATACATGGTCCACGCCAAATCGATAAAGGTGTGGGTAGAAACCGCGCAGGTGCGCAATTCCGTAAAATCTATATCCCGCGCCGCGCAGACGAGTGCAGCGCCAATGCAGATGCGTCAAGTCACACAACTGAGAGGAACCAGTAGGCCCAGAGGCAATTGAAAAGTATGATTTGTTGCCTAGACACAAATTTTACATTTCAATGAGTGAATATGAAATATTATGTGAATAAATTATGCCACATTATCTTGAAATGTTCATAAAAAAGAGCAATATTTAAATTCCAAGTTATTATACTACTTCTTTGGTTTCAATTTATTACAATACTGCTTTAGATTCTATTTTTACAAAGTGTTATTATAATTGAGATCGTAAAACATTTAAAACTAAATTGAACCAAATAAACAATTTTTCTTTCTTTCTTTCAAAACAAGATTGACAAATCATATTATTATTCGCTCTGAGTATAATTGAAAGAGTTGTACAGCAGACGTAGTACCAGACTACTTTGGTCTATAAATTCGCAGGGCACATTATTATAATAACATTAGCTAGCTTCACACTAAAAACAATGTAATGATGATCTTACCTGCAAGATTCGCTTGTGCTGACATAAGAGTCCGGTCTACATCAGTAGATCTGACATAAATTTCTGTAGGATCAAATTGAGGTGACAGCAGATGCTGTAACAAGATATTGATTAGTAAACACTTTTGCATTTAAAATGTTTACTGAGAAGTATTTATGATTTGACTTCTGATGTTAGTTCAAGTAATATTGTAAAGCTGAGAAATCTAGAGTTACCAAAGAGACAAAAGTCTGTTACTTAGCAAGAATTTCAAATTCTTACTTAATTGTATAAAATCTAAAGGATCTTTTATTCATTAAAACTCATGTTGACAATGAGCTATGCGCACACTTGTTGGTATAGCGATAGGACTTTACTCGCTAGTAGTAATCCAATTACTTATAAAAGATACCCATATTTGTACATTGGATATTTGCATTTTTGAGGATAGGTGTGGTTATCTGAAGCAATGTAGGCAATATACAGAATCACTACAATACCGATTGACCATTCATATTGGTATTGTAGTGATTGGGCCTTAAGGTTTTTTTTCTTTTATTCCATCATTCTATCAGTCAGAAGACTATTAACAGATTTGTTCTGTGATTATCGGCGATGAAACCAGAATCCCCACTGGAACTCCCTCCGTGGTTAATTCTGGCTGTCGTTGCATTCTAAAAGCTTCCAGGATTGTGAGTTGCACAGCAAGATGGTTGGGGTGGTTAGTCAGCCTCTCTTTGTATTTTAGACTAATATTTGTGATTTCCTCCTTGACTGTGTTGATTTTTAGATTTTCATGGAGTTCCGAAATTTTAAGAAACAATGGTGTTAGAAATCTTTTTGAGGATGTAATTCTGACATCTTTGTATGATGCTGATATTAGAGTTGCATGCTGATCACTACAATTAGATTCCGTGGGTCCACACTGGTTTTAGAACACTTGTGTAGACGGAAAGCTTGTTGTCGAGAGACAATTTGGAGTTTCGTCAGAGTATCCAGTATAGGCCCTTTTATCTGAGGGTTGTATCATCTCTCTTGATCTGTACATGTTTCGTTCATGTGTGGCGGCGGTCCAGGTATATACCCAGATACCTAGCGTGATCCTTTTGTGGAAGTGGGTCATTTCCAAGAGAGACCGAAGAGCAATAGCAAAAATGATATAAATGTACTTATTTATTTAATATTAAGTTGTCAAATAAATATTTTTCTTTCAATTCCCTCATTGCAGAGTGAATGTAACATGAGCAAACTTTGATGTGCTAACATTTATTCGCCATTTAGTCAGCCACTTATCAATCTGGTCTAAGCTGTGTTGGTCCTTAAGTTAGTTAGCTATTTTCTATCACATAGATGCAAAACTCTTGATATATTTCATATCAAAGAAATTATCTAATTGAACGGTAGTCATCCTGTAGGAAGTCCACATATAATTTTTTGTGGTAATTTAATAATTAAAACCTACTCTAATAACTAGTCATTATTTTTGATTTTTCTTTGCTATTTTCTTATGCACCTATACCTTCCTAAGTGGTGTGTTTTATTGTAGTTCTTAGACAAACCTTGTGCTATGAGTTTGCTGTTGGTAAAGGCAGAATCTTTTAACTCATTGAAGAGAAATTTTGCTGCTTGACCTTGTGGTTGTCTGGACTACATCACAAATCCCCCTAAGGACTACAGTTACAGCGATGAGCGTCAATATTGGAAGTATAAAGAAAGTATCAATTTCGCTATTGTGAAAGCTCGGCTAAGTAACTGCTACATCAGAGAATAGAAGAGACAAAATCGATTAAAGCTATCCTTACCGAATAACGCTGCCGCAGCCACTTTCCAAGAGCATAATGCTGGCTTTTCCCAATGTTCGTCAGCTCGCCAAACTTCACCGGCCAAAGGGACTCGTTGCGCCATGGATCAGTAGGATAAGTATCAGTAGGAGTTCTATCACCGTGTCTATAAATAATTGCGGCGTACTTCACTGTTTCGGAGCAAAGTGTTGCACCAAAACACAAAATGAAAACAGCAAATGCAACCATATTGAAAGCTGCACTGCAGGTGACTGTTAGACACAAAGGAATTCTTTCATAGTATGCACGTCCTTATGGAAAACAGACTGCGACACCACTGCGTGCTTGCTGCAAACGATGCAATTTAGCAGTCAATAGATAAAACGGTGGTGGTAGAGGATGCGCGAAACTAAATTTTGCGTGCGTCTGTCTTCCTTCGATCGCTAAACTTTTTTTTTGTTTTGACATTGACAAGTAGGTACGTTAGGGCAGCGCAATGAATGTTTGATTTATCGATAAATCAGTGTGATTAATAAAAATTAGTCTCCACGCCACGTCTTCGTCAATCTACGGATCAAATATACTGGCCATAAAGAGTAATAAAGAATATATTGCAATATTAATAAGCTGAAGAGTTTGTTTGTTTGCTTGAACAGGAACTGCTGGTCCGATTTGAAATATTAATGTAAAAAAATATATTGGATAGCCCATTTAAGGGGGAAGGCTTAAGGCTTTAATATTATAATATCAGCCTACAGCCAATTCATGCGTACGAAGTCGCGGGCAAATGCCATTTCAGTAATTAAATTTTTACGTTAAAAGTTTCATCTCAAACTAAATTGAAAATTATAATATAATATCTTGAAAAAATCGAACTGCCTAAGACAGATTAAAAAAAAAATTAAGTTATTATTTGACATTTCAGTGTTTTCCATCGTGGCAAAAATCGGTATAGTGGACCTACACTGAACTATCCACAGATATGGATTAGAGTAGATACAGCAAGTTGATCGTCAAAGCGTGCCATTCCGATATGTCCAAATGGACATACATGGTCGAGTGATGTTCATGTAATCCGATTACAACAATCGATTACGATGATTTTACGAGGACAGTAGTACGAACACGGTAGAAAGAAGAAATTATTTACGGATTGAGAATTGTAAATAACAGCACAAGTAACAAATAATTAATTGGAATAAAGTAGCAGTAGAAGAAGTATAAAGTAGCATTGTTTTTAATACATATCCTGCGATGTACTCTTAAGAGTTAAAACCATGGTCCCTGTATGTGGTGCACTCATACCGATGCCAAGAAACCGTACTTACTCATAACAATAAGACACACACTGATCCATGTATTCATGCACTTGACAATTTTTTATCTTGAAACGCTGGTAGGGTAAAAAAAAAATAACGAGATTTGACTAATTATTTTATTTAAAAAGGTATATAAAGATGTTTTTGGTTTTGTATTTAACAAATTATCAGTTTTATCGGAATTAATTAATTTTCGAATCGAGTCACACGATATCTTTCGATGACTTTGCGAATCCAGTACGATGATACGATTATTTTTACGTTGCGGAAATCACTAAAATTCGCTAAAATGACACTAATGACGTTTAAAAAGTGGCACGCTCGGCTTCATACAATTTTTTTCACATGCTGCATCTATCCATATCTGTGGAACTATCCTACCAAACAAATTGACAGGGGGACGCCACCATCGTTCAACTATATGATTTCCAACTTATAACGGTGGCGCTCCCCTGTCAATGTCACGGGTATGATAAAAGTCATCTCGATTTAGGTTTCTTAAAACAAACTGTCAATTTTTGGGATTAAAAAAGGCAATTTAAAATTAATTTCATCAAATGAAGAATGTTCACTAATTTTGTTTTTTAGCTTTCTGTATTCTCTGTTAAAAATAAAAAATACATGTGAAAGAATTATTTCGATACGTCAATTAGTTTCCAAGATATTGAATTTTAAAAGTGCGGGCAGCGGCCGGCCCGCCATTTTATGCGCGTGACGTCATATTACAGTGACTGGCTCATATTTGTATGGGTGGAATCTTGCAAGCTGAATTAAGACCCACTTTCGGGCAACCGAATAAGCTGAAATTTCGCATGCACATGTGATTTGGATGACCATGCAATATTATGATGACATGGAGCTGATCTGATGATGGAGCTGGAAGGTGGCCATAGGAACTCTATAATAAAACGGCTGAAATCCATCGAGTTTGGGCTCGTTCGTTTTGTATTGATGAGTACTTAAATTCTATACAGGGTGTCCCGTAATGTAACGTCAAGCCGGAACTGGGTGTTGAGGCAAGTCGTGCTGGTTATCAGAAAAATATAAAAAAAAATCTATGTGGCATATTTTAAAAATAATAGGCATTTAAAAAAAATCAAAAAATTCTACTCCAGGTGACGGTCCTTTTGCTTGTGTTGCCACAAATCTTCACTTTTTCCAAATTTTTTTTTTGTTATGTAACCCTGAATAATGCTTCTCTAAATTGTCATCAAAATTACAAAACCAGCTGCTCCAGCTTGGATGAAAAAAATACATTATTCCCAAAAAAAATTTCAAAATAAAAATTTTGCCTAGTTTAAACTGACTGTACTGAAAAAAAAATGTACTACGCGAGTGTGGCAAGTGACGTCATAATTTGGCGCATTTAGTAAGGATTCCAAAATGGTATAACACTTGGTAAATTTTTGCTGTAATTGTCGACAATTTTTGGTTTTTTGGAAATAGTCCCGTTTTTAACTTTATCTACCTTGGTTAAAAATTATTATTCTAATGTGCCCAAAATTCAAGTTTCTGTGACTGACTACCGTACAGTCAGTCACAGAAACTTTTGTCACCATGACAGTAATTAGTAGTTGACATACTGTGACAAAAGTCACCCGTGCGCGCGCGCCTTTACTACCTGCTCTGCCTGCACTTGTACTTGGTAACAGGGATAATAAGGATATGAAGTTTCGGTTATGGATACGGTTACGGATATTAGAATAATATTATACCGGTTTCGGTTACGGTCACGGATATGAAATCATTTCAGATTATCCGAAAGTCTCGGATAATTTCGGTTACGGAATTATTAGAATTTCAAAAATGTAGGTATAATACAAATAGCAAGATGCTGCGTGAGCGTGACCCACATAGCTACTTTATGTACCAACTAAGACGACACCTATGTATGATAAAGGTAAAACAGGCTGGCATATTAGATGGTGCCAGCGAATGCCAGACAAGTTGGTAACAAATATTAAGATTTAAGGTACAATTCCAAGACGGGCCGCAGACCGCAAACTGCAACCGCAAACTGCAAAACTATGAAATCGGCAGCGCGGCATTGCAGCTGCGGCGTGTATACTGCAGATTTCATAGAGTTTTGCAGTTTGGCCTTTATCCGAAACTATCCGTAACTTTTGAATCAGTTTCGGTTACGGTTATGGACATTTTTTTATTTCGGATATCCGATAGTTTCGGTTACGGTTACGGATATCCATAACATCCCTGCTTGGTAAGATGGCCCTCTCCGTCCCGCTCATACCTTTTAAAATGGCTTCTCCACCTCACTTAAGCCAGAAACTTAAATTTTGGGCACATTAGAATAATATTTTTAACCAAGGTAGATAAAGTTAAAAACGGGATTATTTCCAATAAACAAAAATTGTCGACAATTACAGCAAGATTTTACAAAGTGTTATACCATTTTGGAATCCTTACTAAATGCGCCAAATTATGACGTCACTTGCCACACTCGCATAGTAAAATTTTTTTTCAGTACAGTCAGTTTAAACTAGGCAAAATTTTTATTTTGATATTTTTTTTGGGAATAATGTATTTTTTTCATACAAGTTGGAGCAGCTGGTTTTGTAATTTTGATAACAATTTAGAGAAGCATTATTCAGGGTTACATAACAAAAAAAAAATTTGGAAAAAGTGAAGATTTGTGGCAACACGAGCAAAAGGACCGTCACCTGGAGTAGAATTTTTGGATTTTTTTTAAATGCCTATTATTTTTAAAATATGCCACATAGATTTTTTTTTATATTTTTCTGATAACCAGCACAACTTGCCTCAACACCCAGTTCCGGCTTGACGTTACATTACGGGACACCCTGTATAGTAATCAGGGTCTGATGATGGAGCTGGAAGGTAATTCCCAATAAAACGACACAATCGCATCAAGTTTGGGTTTTGTTTAATTTTAATTTCTGTGATGGGTCTGGGTGTTAATATGTATACTAAGTATGTATTTACAAAAAAAAATGTATTTAGGTAAGTATGTTTATATCCGTTGTCTAGTGAGCAGACACTGTGAATGTAAGTTTGTACGTCACGCGGGGTCACGTGACCGTCGGCGGGACTCGATATTTAAGCGAACTTTGAATGCCTATAAAACCATAACTACTTGGTATTTTTGAATGAAATAAAAACAAATGTATTATATATGTAAAAGCTTAACTGTAACATAGGTTTCAAGTGATTTTGCATACCTAGTAACATTCTCAATTCTGCTGTGTACATAATAATTCAACGTCCGCGTCCCTTCCCTATTTATTCGGGCATGTTGGCACTACTTGCATTTTTTTATGAAATTGCGCGGGCTGCGCGAATCGTTGTCGGTTGTGGCGCGAAATAATGTAAGGCGATGGGTGATGTATGTAGTATTATACACTATACAGATTTATGGTGGATATTATGTGGTATATAGGTACTCCACAGTATACTCGTACAACTGTGCAGTATAGTACTATAGTGCACGAATTACACGATAGAAACATTACTGTCAGCATACCTTCTTCCTTTTAGCCTAGGTATTTTTCTAAACAGCTTTTCGAGCATAAAAAAAATAGGAGGTAGCGTGGGACATCCATCCACAAGGTGGACCGACGACCTGATAAAGGTAAAAATAAATTTAAGTAAATTAATAAATATAAATTGGCACTTTGTATGTTGTGTTTGTGTCCGTCATCCAGTACGAAGAACTAACAATAAATAGGTACAAAACATTTTTTTGTTGTAAGTAGTGCTACCGTTAGATTCCAAGGGATTCTACGAAAATGTTGTAGATCTGGGAATCACTTAAAAGTACCTACAACAGTTACCCTTACCTACTCACGATGGACTAATTATCTGCTATAGGTAACTAAGTACTCTCGACTCTTTAAAGCACGCAAAAATATTCAACATATCCAAAGGACTTTCGATTTGAAGTTTACAATTTATTATGTGTAAAGGACAATGGGCAAAATGGTTCCCGGCTCCAATAGATATGTGTCTAGTATCGTTTGAAAGGTCTTACCAAGATGAACAACTTTTACTATGACCACCAGCCTCAGATCTGGTTGTGTACGAAGATATACATACTTTTTTGCAGAATGGTACCCGGCTCCAATAGTTAT